GTGGTGTTGGTGTTGGTGTTGGTGTTGGTGTTGGTGTTGGTGTTGGTGTTGGTGTTGGTGTTGGTGTTGGTGTTGGTGTTGTTGGTGGTGGTGGTGGTGGTGGTGTTGCTGATGTTGGTGGTGTTGGTGGTGTTGGTGGTGTTGCTGGTGTTGGTGGTGTTGGTCGTGTTGGTGGTGTTGGTGCTGTTGGTGCTGTTGGTGCTGTTGGTGCCGTTGGTGGTGTTGGTGGTGTTGAAGGTGTTGGTGGTTTTGGTGGTGTTGGTGGTGTTGGTGGTGTTGTTGGTGTTGGTGGTGTTGGTGGTGTTGGTGGTGTTGGTGGTGTTGGTGGTGTTGGTGGTGTTGGTGGTGTTGTTGGTGTTGTTGGTGTTGTTGGTGTTGTTGGTGTTGTTGGTGTTGTTGTTTTTTTGTTGTTTTTGTTGTTGTCGTTGTCGTTGTTGTCGTCGGTGTCTTCGTTGTTGTCGTTGTTGCCGTTGTTGTCGTTGCCGTTGACATGGCCGTTGCTGTTGCCGTTGTGTTTCTGTTGCTCTTGTTTTCGTGTCGTAGTGCTGTTGCCCTTGTGCTGTGTGTGGTTGCGCTTGCTCGTTATTAGTTGTTGGTTGTGGGTTGTTTGTTGTTCTTGTTGTTCTTGTTTCAGCTGCTGCTGTTGTTGCTGCTTTTGGTGGGTGGGTGGGTGGGCGGGTGTCGCTGCTGGCATGCTGCTGGCCATTATGTATTTATATCCATCTATCTATCTATCTATCTCTCTATCTCCTGGCAGTACATGTGCCTATTTGGCAAAGCCAACAGTTTGACACACTGAAGTTGAGAGAGCCGCGCCAGCTCACTTGAGGCCCACCGCTCAAGGGGCAGAACCGCGCCAGGGAGCAGGGCCTCATGGCTCCTTGTTGAGCAGAACTCTTGACGGATGCAGGTCGGCGCCAAAAAAGGCCCCCACAGGAATGCTGCCTTCAGTATCACAGAAATCAGACAGGTATATTTCGACAACCATGACGCAATTTGGCGGCTTCAAGCATTTGTTGCGTTCAAAGAAGTACCCGGTTTCACGGAGGCTAGCTAAAAAAAAGGCGCTGCTGACTGACCTGTTAAGGTAGCGTGCTAAGTCAACTTCGTTGTAGGGTTTTTTCAATGTTAGCCCAGTCCCAAACAGCTATTACTCGCTTTTGTTGGCCAGTGAGCGCAGCAAGTCACGAACAAGCTGTCCATAGTGAGGGCCTTTCTTCCATGATCTCCTGCATGTGCAAGCGTTCCGTGTTAACACCTCGCCCTTCCTGGATCTTCCCGTTTTTGCATGTGTCCATTTGCTTGTTTTAAACGAGAGGACAGCTCATTTTGTAAGGTTTGTAGAATGCTCAATGCTGGTGCAATTCTGTGGGCCCCGCTTATATAGTGTGTTTGGAGGGCTTGACGTATTGTTTTCCTGAGCATCATTTCGGACGAGAAGTGCGAGGGGTTGCCTTTGGTTTCCCCTTCATGGACCACTTCCCGGACCATTTTGTCCCATACTGCAAACTTTAACACGTGTTTGATGTCGCTGCGATCAAGCAAAGAAGGGAAGGCCACGGCATGGATGTCGCGCCTTGAGGCTCATCCTGGGAGATCAAGTGCTTGCAGGATGAGCGGGGAGAAGGCGCCGTGCTCGAGGTCTCACCACACCCCAACGGTTCAACGCTTTTCCCAGAACAAACTGTGTGTTTTTGGGCCCGCAAGGAAGATCTCTAAAGAGTCTCTATAGGCAATTGCTACCATTGTTTCACCTGCATGTTGTTTTGGTCGCATTGGTTGCAATCTCACTTTGTCATTTTCAGCAGCGCCAATCAAGGCGAGCGTGCCGATGCGCGCGGTCAATAGACAGTTTCAACAAGAAGGTTGCTTTTAGTCAGCTACGTGCGCCACAACAAAGTTCAAGTTTCACTTTCCAAGTTGCAGAGAGCCGTTGCAAGCAGGCCGCGCGAAGCGCAACATTGTGAGGTCAAACATTGGAACCTTGTGACAAGATGGCATCAACGTTACTTGCAGGAATATGTTCTGATTGCTTGGATCAACTACTACAGGGTTATGGGAAACCTCATTGTTTGAATGTTCCGGAGTTTTTGAGAGGAGTTGCCAATGCTGGGGGTTCTGGAATTCCCCACAAAGGTTCTATAGATCCTGGCATACGTCATTCTGCCCGGCACCCTTGTTTCCTTGGGGTGTCTTTATGTCAACATGAGTTTTCCTGCTCTGCTTGTCCCATGGCCACTGGGTAGGCAAAAGGTTCAGAGATGGAAGACATGACAATATGCCAGATATTGCCAGATATTAATATTTCAATTATAAAACGGCCTGTACTTGAAGGTGATAAAGTCACCTTTTAGGTCGGTAGCGTGTCAGGGCGTAATCTATGAATCTATGTGCTGGACGTGGGGTCCAAAATGTGGAGCTGGGCCATGCCAGTTTCAGAGCTGCCGCATATTTAAGGGGCCCGTGGGGAAAAAGCATTCAAGGGGGCCCTGTCTGATATTCTGTCTCCAAATAGGCACCTTGCCCCCCCCCCATGAACTATATTTGGGGCATGCGTGTCTGATTCAACCCGCTCTGCAGGATCATCTTCTCATTTGCTCATTTGCTCATCTGCATTTGCTCATTTGTGTGTGCACCTACCAAGTACCAATATGTCAAAAACAACATGTAGGCACTTGCATCTGTGATTAAGATCTTGTATGGAAAGGAGTCCCTACTTAAATTATCAACCGACATAGACATTCAAAATTCTGTTGCAAAGCAGTTGTCAAGCAACTACAGTCTAATAGACATTCGAGTGCAATTATGTCCTTCTTCAATTCTATCGCAACTCTAGCTAAAGATATGTTTATATCGCTTGACAGAAGGGGTTCAACTTTAAGTTCTTCTGGGGCCTGGCAACGCAGGAAAAAATCCTGGGAAGGACGGTTAATTCAAATTCTAACGGAAGCTTGCAGTCATTCTTTCCCTATTAAGTTCCATGCGCACACGTGGAAAGAAATCCCCCTTTAAATTTAATATTTGAAATAGAAATCCTATTATAACTATTTGTGATTTGTTTGTTCTTTGGGTTGTTGATGAGTAAGGGGAGACGCGGCAAAACAAATCCAGCAAGAGCTGTGGCATACTTGCCTTTGCTGACAATAGTTCAAGAGTAAAAGGAGAGATACAGCAGAACAAAGTAATGAAGGGATAGCAATCATTGCATCTGGAATGCAAATTTCCAGTTTCATTTTATGATGTGATTTGTAAGCAAAAACAGTAAAACACTTGATGTGTTTTTACACTTTGGCAATTACAAGCATCAAAACACAGCGTTGTTTTGCATGTTTGACTTCAAAAGGTGCACTTTGTTGCAGACCAAATTTTGCCTAGTACTCCTTATATATGTACACCCAAAACATGCGAAACACACTGCAAATACCGTGTTTTTGAAGGGTGAGACAAACCGCATGCTCCAAATGTAGTTCATGGGGGGAGTGACCATCTATTTCTGAGGAATACCAAACTATTAGACAAGGGTTCACACATGAGAGATGCTAGACTCTCTGCGCAGAGATATGTCTTCGGTGATTTAGTGAAACCCCAAAAGACGTGTCAGAAACCTTTAAGTGACAACGTCTTCAGTTTTGCCGCTCGCCAGCAAGGGACGTTTTTTTCTCTTGGCTTCTAAAGTTGACAGGGATGCAGCGTCAGTCAGTATACAGTTTGCTTTGGACTGTTCTTTGGCTGTGGCTGACATAGGAGATCCGCGTGTCTTTGCGACGCCCGTCAAAACGGCAAAAGGCCCAATGAGATACACACCTCTATGCCAGGACCAAGTGGATGGTGTGCGCTGAGCCCACGCAAAAGCATGGCGCGCTGCGCCATGAGGGAGGCCAATACTCTCAAATTTAGGAGGCGAGTTGGCCTGTGTCGCTTGTCACAAACCACATGGTATCAAATTGGTGCACCGTAGGGCGTCCCTCATGGTGCCGCCCCGCCTTAATTAAGGGAGTTGATTCACGGAAGCTCACAAAAAGCCAAGAGTTGAAGCTGAGCAGCGGCAAGCTCAGAGGCTTTATAATCTTTATAGGCACATGGTTGGTCGCCGTGGTTCTAGCAACAAGGGAGCTTGAGGCTCCCTGAGGCAGCGGCTCATAATCGTAGCTCTGCCCGTCCGAAGGCGCAGCATGCCCAGCACCAAAACCGCCAATCCGACAAGCGTCGCCTGTTCAAACATGATGGCTCCTGGACCTCCTGAACTTTGTCTTCCATGCGTCACACATACAAGATGTCCTTTCAAACCAACTGCAGCAAGCCTCGAACTTGACGCAGAGTCTTCCGAAGGCTTGAGGGCCCCTGATACCTAACGATGTCAGCCCTCGTGCGCAGTTAACGTGCCGCGACAGACGCGTCGCGTTGGCGCGCCCTTCGGGCCAAAAAAGTGTGCACATTCATGCGGGGCGGGTGGAGATATGGGGGCCAGTGTAAAAGGCGCACATTGGGGGGTGCAACGGGGCAGGGTGTGACACGCCACTGGCCTGGCGATGTGGTGTGCCCTGGGATCTGGTGATACTTCTGAGCCACAAGGCTTTGGCCCACACACTTCCACTCCTGTCCTGAGTCAGATGTGTGCCTTGTCCCGTCTCAGCATGTTCGGGGTGTTGCTGTTTGGATGTCGAACCGTGCATACGTGGGAAAGCCCTCAGGTTTGGGGCAAGTGTTGGCACAAGTGTTCAACTAATAACTTGGAGATCTTTGAGCAAACAAGCTGGCCAGATGCAAGCTCAAAAAGCCATCCGCAAGCCTCAAGTGAAGACTACGATTGTTGGCCTTTTGGAAGACCCACCCCAATTGAAGACTGCGCAGCGTGGCTCAAGTTTTCGCAAGAAGCCGGGAGTTGTTAGTGGAGTTTGTTCCTGGATTTGGATGTGTACTCATGATATGTCTATTATTCTGGTTAACGCTTAACTCGCAATTTTCCAGCAAGAGAACGTGAACAAACATTACGACTCCGAAGCCATAAATGTTTGAACGCCTTGCTTCTGAGCCATGCAGCCGGGGCTGCTTTTAGCTTTGCTCTTGCCGAAGGCAGCAGGCGGGCGTTGATCCTTGTGAGCGAGCCCATGTTTGCCATGCCCCGTGTACCAGGCGGCCGTCATAGCAGTAAGACTAGATATGTAGTAGATATCGGTGCAGAAGCATCAGCGTCAGCAAGTTGTTAATGTAAAGTAGATGCCACAAGCACCATGGTGAGAACATGAGCAGAAGCAGAATCATGTTTCAGCAGCAGCAGCAGCAGCAGCAGCAGCAGCAGCAGCAGCAGCAGCAGCTAACTCACTTAACTCACTGTTCAACAGTGCCTAGCTGTGTTCGTGGTATGTGTTTAACAGCTGATGTTGGAAAACTTTGCGCCGAACCAGGCAGCCAGGAAGCTTTAAGGAGAAGGGAAAGGAGGTCTCTTGCATGCGTAAGGAAGCTTACTTACTCTAGGCACACCAAATTCCCATCGTGTTGCGTGCTACGCTGCTCTTGCATGATGTTCTTTCAGTTTGGCTGTTGTCATGGTCCCAGATCAACTTGCATCTTGCTTTGCTTACTTCTTGTAGTACAGAATTGAAGTGTTGGATCGCTTGGCCCTACTTTAGAGCCTCCGGCTCAGTCCGCCGACATTGTCCTCTCCCTCTTCTCCTTCTTGTCTCCTCCCCCGCGTGTTCTGTCGTCCTCTGTCTCCCTGTCTCCTTCCTGTCCACCCCTCTACAGAAAAAGGGCACCCTTATTCTAACCTCTCTACAGAAGGACCTAGTCTCTCTCTCTCTCTCTCTCTGTGTCTCTCTCCCGCTCTCTTCCTGTCTCTCTCTCTCCCTCTGCATTGCAGCGTCACGTCCCTCCTGAGTTGCTTCGATACTGCCCCTTCATTGCCCTTCATGACCCTGAACTGTCATCTCACTACTGGCTTTCCCCTTCATTTCCCTTCATGCCCTTTTCACGTGTCTCATGATGTCCTGGTCATGTCCCTTCCATTCCTTTCATTGTCCCTGTCATTTTCTCGGTATGTCCGCTTCATTTTCCACGCATGTGTTTCCCATTCATTCCCCCTGCACTCCCCTTGTTTTCATTTATGTCCCATTCATGTCCCTTGCCACTGTTTCCCTTTCATTTCCCGTTGCTTTCCTGTCATGCCGACTTCCTATTTCCTCCCCTCATTTCCTTGCACTTCCTTGCATTTTCCCCCCCAGCATTTCCCGCAAAACAAACACGGTTTTTCCAGCGTTTTTGCAAAGAGGACGTCCAAAACACAGAGTTTTTCCAGATGTTCGGCAAAAGGAGAAAGAGCCGGCAGGGGGATTCAAGCCTGGGACCCCTGTTTGGCGACACCGGCTCCCCGGGGTTAGGGGGTAGGGGGGGGGGGTTATCCTCTATCCTCTCTTAGGTGCCCGACACGCCGAGCAACGTCGGCGGATACTGTCTGCACCTGAAAGTTGGGTGGCCCATGTTGAGAAGGTCTCCTTTCCGATTTGCATCAATTTCGACAGTTGCTGTTGGGCTCAGCAACCATTGCTTCACATGCCGGGCTTTGCCGAGAAGGCGTTTGGTTCAGAGCGCCTGCTTCGCAGCTCCACAATGGTTCAAACTTCAGGCAGCCCTTTGGCCAGCCGCTTGTGGGGCGCCCCAACTAAATTTGCTAGGCATGGTTGCACGGGCCTGAACGAGCCAATTGGCCCAGAGAGAAGCATGCGGAGGTGGGCACTTTCCCTGCAGCCGCAACTTGCAAGGGACCCACGTGGAAGCCGAAAACTGAAAGACCTACGCAGAGAGGAGGCTATCCCTATATCCAGGTTCCCCCACCCATGGCTGACACTCCCCCAACTGGAGCGTGGCAGGAGTGCCGGTAACCGGCTCCCCTGAGTGCCCGTGCGTGGATGTGGAGTCCGGGGGCTATGGCCGTGGCTGCGCTGCACACGACATCAACAACTCAGCGTACCCGCAGTGCATGTCCGACGCTCCTCCCGGCTGGTGCGGCGACATGTGGTGCTATGTCAACAGGACCGGGCAGCTTGGCCGGCGAGACACCCGTTTTGTCGCCTCTAGATCTTTGTGTGTGTTGCTTGAAGTTGCTTGAGCTGCGGGCTGTGTTCAAATCTCCGTGCATGGGAACGCGGTGCTTTGGAGAGCATGTGCTTGATCAACCCAGGCGACCACCTGCCTTCTGCAAAGGCAAGAGCAGAGATCAATGTTCTGCTCACTTCGCATGTCATGATGGTTCAAGTGTTGAACAGCCAATGCCCATTGCTTGTTGTAGCAGAGCATCTTCCATCCCGACGGCAATTGATTTGTCTCAGCCACAGACACCACTTTCTCTGGTGGACAAAATCCTGACACACTCAGCACTTTTTGGTTGTCAAGTTGCCATGGCGCACCTGCAGTTCAGCCTTGCCACTATTCCCACATGTCTCATGAGCTGTGTTTCCTCTTCGAAACATCCATCCCCAGCAAGGCGTGAGCCAAAGAGGCCTGTTTGGAAGCCCAATACAGGTCCAAGAAGGCTTCTGCTTCACTTACAACAAGAACACTTGCTCACTAAGGCACCGATCCACGGTGTGATCAAAGCACGCTGTTGTGTCGGGATCCCAACATGGGCAGATTAGGCCTTTGCAAAGAGGCACTAGTTGTAGCTGTCAGCGGTGTTCCGGCAGCTGACCCGGGTGGAGGGCCTCCCTTTGTAAGCTAGCTGCCAAGACAAAGATAATTAGTTGTGTGTCTCAAAACGGTGTGCCTGTTTTGTAGCTAGTTTGAATGGAGAACCTTTTCAAAGCGGTTTCTGGACTTGTCACACATCTCTGTCAGCCAGGCAGGCCGCCTTAATCCAAGGCTGTCGCCACTCAGCACCGCTGTTCTCATACTGTTGTACCCCCTCCCCCCAAAAAGGGTCCGAAATAGTCCTGATCTGCTGGGTTTGCGAAGAGTCGTAGGCCCTTCCTGTTTGATAGGAGCAACTGCTTAGTGACCAACGAGGTGAGCATCTCGCCTACCGCCCCCCCTGCCTATTGGAGCTACACCACCTGCGGTTACCGGGACCTTTTTTCCTTGAACAACATCACGGACAGCATCCGGGGCCAGACCCTCCGGGTGCTTTTCATCGGCAACACTGGAGGCGAAGCCGACGCAATGGCTTCGATTGAATCTTTGGAAAGGGGTTGTGCTCACAGCCCTGATATGACACCACAATCCAATCCTTGAGAGGTTTACCAGCACACCGTTCACGGAAACAGGTCATGGAAATGAGGGGAGTCCGTAGTCTCTTATGCGATATACCTCCCTGCTGGTGGCATGAGGTCAAAATCCCTGGCTTGTACATTCGCGATGTGCAGTGATGTGTTGGCACGCAATGGCAGGCCGCAGCATTACTTTGACCTTGCACGGTTTCAAGAAACGAGGGCGGACACGGGCATTTTGCTGATCAGGAAATGCAAATTGCCCCAGTTACGTGATGAGAGAACAAAACACAACCTTATGACAAGCGCCTATTCACACAAGAGATGGTTGACCCATGTGGTTGGACTCTTTCGCGAGAATACAGGACCCATTTTAAGATGAGCGTAGGTTCTATGTCCGGGGGGGGACTCGCCCGGGCCTTCAGGCTGGAAAGGCAACTACTGTACCGACAACGGGCAGATCTGTGTAAATCAGCGCGGCTACGGACCTGTACAGCGAATTCTCGACTCCATGACCCGCTCATCAGGTGCCCCGACAGATGTTCAGATGTTTTGAACGAAGCAGTGCAGGGACGCCAGCAGGAGTCCTCCAAAAGGCGCCTCACACTCCGGAGAACAAGATAGAGAGATACTCATTGCGGATAGGAGGTGGCTCCCCCTGTGGTGAGATTTAACCGTCATGACCAAAAGATATGAAGGCTCTAGCAACAACGCTGGACAATCTGGAACTTCTTGCCGCTCCACCTCGCTCATTTGTTACCCTTGGTGCTTCTCCTGTGGGAGGGGAAGCCTCCGCGAGGCTTCAATTTACATCAGCTGAACGAAGCTCCAGAAGCTGTCCGGGAGCACATGGCGCGAGTCAATCCAACTGGCTCCCAGTTTGACCTTTGCACGTGGGCCACCGGCATCTCTGCTGACAATATCTGGAGGTGTTGGCTCTTGGTATGAGCTAGTTAGTGCGCAAACAAGATTGAAAGGCTGATGCGCAAGGTGTCTTGTTTCCATTTTGTATCTTGTTGGCTAGCATTTCTTGCGTCATGCCTACGTTGCGTTGCCTGAGCTTGATAGTATGATATTCTATGTGGCCCAAGTGCGCTCGAGCTTCGGGCGGTTTCAGTCAATACGCATTGCTGCATTCTTCCTGCGCGCTTGGTTGTATTGATGTGTTGTTTGGATTGCATTGCTAGCGCTTGTGCTGTCTTCTGCCAGCTGAGTTTACAAGAGTCATGGAACTGGGGTCCTCCAAAGTGACGGCCGAGCAACCCCATACGCTTTCGTTATACGCTTTGGTTGCGTTGCGCCTGTTCAGCAGGCCTTGCCCTTCGTTCCCTTGAGGGAGCTGCTTGCCTCGGCAACTGGTGCTGCTGCCGGTGTGTTTGTGAACTGAAGCACACGTGCTGTGTGGTTATGTTGCGCACGTGTGCAGTGAATCGCGCAAAGTGTGCGTCGTATGTTGCATATAAATTTTGTGAGATCGTGTATGCATGTGTTGTTGTTTTGTATGCTGTTGCTTGTGCCGTGTGTTGCATGGTGGGAGTTATTTTTGTGTTGCACATGATTCGTGAAGTTTGCGCTGTGTGTGCGGGTGGATGTGCGTGCACGTCTGCGTGCACGTCTGCGTGCGCGTCTGCGTGTGTGGGTGGGTGAGTGGGTGGGTGTGCGTATATGCGTATGCGCATGCGCCAGTGTCACTCGTGAGCCTCTGTAGCAAAGGCATGGGCTTCGTTGACATCTGCGGGTGCTCCATGGTGATGCTCCCCAGGCTGGAAAGCTGAGGTTTGCCAACCCACAGACGACGGGACAGGTCCAACCCAAGGTGCGCATGGCGTGCCAGCGGGGTTCCATGAAATGTTTAGAGCTGTGTCCTTTTTTGGAGGACGCGTTTTGGGTTCATTTAAAGGGACACTAAAAGAAAACCAAGCATTTTGGGGGTGTCCGTATTATCAGATCATATGATGTCACCTGACAAAGTCATAGGATCTCAAATCTAAACCGGCACTTTCGATCTGTTTGAAGGATTGCACACCCTCTGTGCACGACACCCTGCTCTTGTCCCTCATCAGCCAACGGCGGGCAGACTCTCTCCACAGATTCGAATGTAGGTTGACGGCACTCTGGAACACAAGCCCCATCAACAGCAGAGCGCTCTACTCAGAACCAAACAATCTGAGGGCTCTTCTGGGTCATGAGCCCTGCCTGGCGAGGCACCACTTCAAGAGCTAGTAGCAAGGTTTCTTTCTTTTTGTTTGAAAGGAGTTGATTTCGGAGATCAATTTCCGCAAACAAGCGTTTCTGCAAATGGGCTTGTTGAAAAAGAAAACATGTGTAGAGTGTGTGTGCTGCGGGGAAAAGACAAAGCAGCAGTCACTACTTCAGGCACCTGGACGCTACATTGAACGCTACACTCTCATTGAGCACCACATTGAGCGCTATATGGAACACTACAGTGGACACTGCCCCAGATCGTGCAAAAAGCAGCTTGTTCATTGCCCTTGCTTCTCACGAAGAACTCTAGCTTTCAAAACAGGCCTATTTGGCAGTATTCGATGTCATGTTCAATGAGTTTTCAATGTAGTGCTCAACGCGTCGCTGAACACAACTAGCCGCTGGGGTTTCTGTCGAAATTGCAGGTTGCGCTACTTTCCTGCGTTATGTTTGAGTCGTTCGCTGGCGCGCACAGCCACCGAACACATGCCAATACGCTTTGCTGGCAAAGTTATCGGCGGACGCATTCCCGCACGGCTTCTGCTACGGTGTGCGACAACTCTCGCGCTCCCCTTTCAACAGTGGAAGTTTAAGAGCCGTTGGCGAAGAGTTGTTACCATATCATAGGCGCCCGTTGCCTAGCATGGGCTCTTCTCTGGCCAATTCCGGCAGATTTGTGTGGCTGGTTGCTCCCTGACACTGGCCAGGCGAACTGACGCGAGCCCCTTCTTGACCCTTTGGACGGAGCCCGTGGTGCTGGTGGGGCCTTTGCGCGGCAACCAAGGCCTCGGCGGAGACTTTGGGGCCATGCTGGGCAAGGCGTTCCGACCTCTGAGCCCGGGGCTCTGGGGGCTTGCTGTGGTAGTGGCTTGGCGCTGAATTGGGCCTTCTGCCTTCTCTCGAAAGGTCAAATCAAATCTCAGCAACAACCGGCCTATCAACATGATCAGCGACACCACCACGGACTTCCCACCCCTTCCCACCACCTGCCACCACCTACATCCACCCACTACCCCGACAACCACCCCACCTACCACGCACAGCAGCAAAAAGTTTGGGAGCAGCAGAGCACAGGGGTGTGTGTGTGTGTGAAACTATTGCGCCTTTCAATCACCGGAGCGCCACTAAGCGGCCAAACAACGTGATGTTTTCCTCCCAGTAAGGTGGCCTTGTCCATGTCCTTCCTCATCACAATGTTCGAGAAGACTGAGGGAGGCCAGTTCGAGGCGCAGTTGTCTCACCCAAAGCTGGGGGCCATTCATAGACTTTCTCCTCAGAGAATGGCCTCTTTGTCCGCTTGCAACCAGCTCCGGAGGGTCCAGTCAGAGTGGCCTGGGATTGCTCCCAATTTCGAAGTTTGAGGTTCGAATCCCATTTCAGGATTACTTGCCATGCCACCGCGCAATGGCAGTGGCCATTCAGCATGCGGGCGATCGCTTTTGACAACAACAACCACCGTCCCGTGTCATTGGTGCGCTGACTCTCCGAGACCAAGCGGTTGCGTGTTGGACTGGGTGTTGACCCGATGGGATTTGGAGTTCCCCTCATGATCCTTTCGGGAATAGTTTCAAACCCGAGACGATTCAAACTTAGACCATCCACTTTACACAATGAAACACGAAGCAAAGCACACACAGATCAAGGAAGCGGCACCATTTTTGTGCAGGGCTCAAACCGTCCCTTTGTTTGCCCGACAGGATGTGGAGCATGGTGAATCCTTTGGCTCTGGCCTCTTCATGGCCTTCTTCAGCCTGGTGACCTTTGAGGCAAGCCTGCACCTTTGCTGGGTGTCTTGCCTCTCCATCACAATCTCTTGTTTGTTTGCAACGAGGGCGGGGGCTTTCTTTCTTTCTTTCTTTCTGTCTTTCTGTCTGTCTTTCTTGCTTTCCTTATTTCTGTCTTTCTGTCCCTTTTTCTGTTTTTCTTTCTGTCTTTATTTTTTGCCTTCCTTATTTCTGTCTTTCGGTCCCTTTTTCTGTGTTTCTTTCTGTCTGTCTTTCTTTCTTTCTTGCTTGCTTTCTTTCCTTTCTTCCTGTCTTTCTTTCTTTCTTTCTTTCTTTCTTTCTTTCTTTCTTTCTTTCTTTCTTTCTTTCTTTCTTTCTTTCTTTCCTTCTTGTGTTGCTCTTGTTTTTTGTTTGTATTGTTCCTTTTTTTGTTTTGTTTGAATGTGTTTATTTGCGTCTTTTAGTTTGCCTTTATTTTTCTGTCTTTTTGGTATTCCTTTCTTTTCGTTTGTCGGCCTTTGTTCTTTTCTTTCTGTCTCTCTTTCTCTCTTTCTTTCTTTTGTTCTTCCGTTCGTTTGTTATGTCTTTATGTCTTTTATTTGCGTTATTTCTTTATTTCTGTTGTCGTTTTTGTTTTTTGTCACTACCTGTATTTCTGTGAACCTTGTGTTTTTTTTTCATTTCTCCCTTTCGTCGTTCGACCTTTACTTCTGTTTGTTTCTTTCGTGTCCTTGTCTTTCTTGCTATGCTTCTTCTTGTCTTTGTGCAGTTCTTCCTTTATTTTTGTTCTTTTGCTTGTCCTTCATTTGTTTGGTCTGTCTTTAGTTGTTCCTTATGTATGTGATTCCGTGCTTCTTTTTGTATTTATGTTTTTTCCCTTTATGTATGTGTACGTCTGTCTTTATGTTTGTTTTCTTTCGTTTTGTCTTTCTGTCTTCTTTTCTTTCAGTCTTTCTTGCTATCTGTCCTTCTTGCTTTCTGTCTGTCTTTTTTGTCCTTCTCTCTCAGTTGTGTTCTTCATGTCTTTCTCTCTGTCTTTCTTGATGCATTTTGTTATGTCTCCATATTTGTCTTTCTATATGTCTGCCTTTCTTTTTGTTGTTGTGTTATGTTTTTTGTTTCTTTCTGTCAGTGTTTCGTTCATTCTCTAGTTATTTTTCACGTATATATATATATATGTATTCGTTTAGATTATTTACTAATTTCTGCTTTCTGTCTTTCTGTCTTTCTTGCTTTATTTATTTTTGCTTGTTTTCTTTCTTTCTTTATTTCTTTCTTTCTTTCTTTATTTTTTTTTCTTTCTGTCTGTCTGTCTGTCTGTCTTTCTTTCTCTCGTTCTTTCTCGCTCTCTCTCTCTCTCTCTCTCTCTTTCTTTCTCTCTTTCTTTTTGTCCTGTTTCTACCTGCTTTCTTTTCATGCATGTTTTTTTCAAGGTTCCCTTTTCTCTTGCTTTCTTTCTTGATGTATTTGCTTATTTCTTTCTTTGTGTTTGTTTGTCTTTCTTTCTTTCTTTCTTTCTTTCTTTCTTTCTTTCTTTCTTTCTTTCTTTCTTTCTTTCTTTCTTTCTTTATTTCGTTCTTTCTTTCTTTATTTATTTCTTTCTTTATTTCTTTTCTGCCTTCTTTGTTTTCATTTGTTTGTTTTGTTCTTTCTATGATTTCTTTTTTCCCGAAAGCATCGCGAAGGGTTCTTCATTGCGGAGCCCTTGGACAAGTTACACAGAGCCAAGTTGCACAGAGCCAAGTTACATAGAGCCAAGTTACATAGAGCCAAGTTACATAGAGCCAAGTTACATAGAGCCAAGTTACATAGAGCCAAGTTACATAGAGCCAAGTTACATAGAGCCAAGAGCCAAGTTACATAGAGCCAAGTTACATAGAGCCAAGTTACATAGAGCCAAGTTACATAGAGCCAAGTTACATAGAGCCAAGTTACATAGAGCCAAGTTACATAGAGCCAAGTTACATAGAGCCAAGTTACATAGAGCCAAGTTACATAGAGCCAAGTTACATAGAGCCAAGTTACATAGAGCATAGAGCCAAGTTACATAGAGCCAAGTTACATAGAGCCAAGTTACATAGAGCCAAGTTACATAGAGCCAAGTTACATAGAGCCAAGTTACATAGAGCCAAGTTACATAGAGCCAAGTTACATAGAGCCAAGTTACATAGAGCTAAGTTACATAGAGCCAAGTTACACAGAGCCAAGTGGCACAGAGCCAAGTTACACAGAGCCAAGTGGCACAGTGGCACAGAGCCAAGTGGCACAGAGCCAAGTGGCACAGCGCCAAGTTGCACAGAGCCAAGTGGCACAGAGCCAAGTGGCACAGAGCCGAGTGGCACAGAGCCAAGTGGCACAGAGCCAAGTTGCACAGTGGCACAGAGCCAAGTGGCACAGAGCCAAGTGGCGCAGAGCCAAGTTACACAGAGCCAAGTGGCACAGAGCCAAGTGGCACAGAGCCAAGTGGCACAGAGCCAAGTTGCACAGTGGCACAGAGCCAAGTGGCACAAGCTAAGTTACATAGAGCCAAGTGGCACAGAGCCAAGTGGCACAGAGCCAAGTGGCACAGAGCCAAGTGGCACAGAGCCAAGTGGCACAGAGCCAAGTTGCACAGAGCCAAGTTGCACAGAGCCAAGTGGCACAGAGCCAAGTGGCGCAGAGCCAAGTTACACAGAGCCAAGTGGCACAGAGCCAAGTGGCACAGAGCCAAGTGGCACAGAGCCAAGTTGCACAGAGCCAAGTGGCACAGAGCCAAGGTTAGGTAGAGCTTGCGTAGACCTTCGGCGTAAGCAGCTATGTAAGTTAGTTTAGGTTTCTTACGCGCCGGGGCGGGAGTTTGATCATCGCTCGGGATTGCGACCCTCTGAGGAGATCCGGGTGGTCGAGGTCAAAAAACTGAGGACTTTTTACGATTTTTAACATGCGCGCGCGACCCTCTGCGAAGATTCGCGTGGTCGAGGTTCAAAAACTGCGGACTTTTAACGATTTCTGCAAGCCGCGCGCAACCCTCTGCGGAGATTCGCAGGGTCGAGGTTCAAAAACTGAGGACTTTTTGCGATTTCTGCGGTCCGCTTGCGACGCTCTGCGAAGATCCGCGTGGTCGAGGTTAAAAAACTGGGGACTCGAGCGAATTTGTCTTAGTCTCGGCGAACCCTCTGCGGAGATTGTGCGTGTCGAAGCGCTCCCGCTGTGGCGCCGTGTGATTTTCTTGCTCGCGAAACGGCCTTTGGAAGTTGTCTCGTAGTTGGCGCGCCTGCTTTCGCAATCCCACGGTCGCGGGCTCGATTCCCCCCTGGTCCGCGGCAGCTCCGGCTCGAAAATCGCAGCTTCTAAGTACAAACGTAGCACGCGGAGCGTGCTCCCGCAGCTCCGGCTGGAAAATCGCAGCCTTTAAGTACAAGCGTAGCACGCGGAGCCCCTCCGCAGCTCCAGCTGGAAATTTGTAACTTTTAAGTACATACGTAGCGCGGGTGTGTGTGCACAGCGCAGGCTGAGCATCTTGTGCGCAGATACAAGCGCCGAGCATCTGGCGGCGAGAAACTTGCACAGAGCAACGTGCGCAGAACAGTCTAGGACAGATGTCCAGCCATTTGCGCGCAGCAGCTTGCAGAGAGCAACTTGCGCGCAAGCAGCCTGGAACAATGCAGCTTGCGCAGACCACTTTCTTGAGAAATCGTGCAGCGCAACTTGCGCAAAGCACATTGCGCTGAGCAGACTTGCGCAGAGCCACGCTTCACAGAGCCAAGTTGCGCAGAGCCACTCGCGTAAAGTAGCTTGCGTAGAGCCAACTTTCACAGAGTCAAGCTGCGCAAAGCCATCTTGCGCAGAGCTAAGTTACACGAGCCTGCTCTGCAGAAACATATGCTTTCACGACATAGCGATTCTTGTGTCTGACTCGGGCAGGAGCCGGTTGCTGTTGGCTTGTTTCTTTTTGTTTGGTGGGCAGAGCCAAGTGGCACAGAGCCAAGTGGCACAGCGCCAAGTTGCACAGAGCCAAGTGGCACAGAGCCAAGTGGCACAGAGCCGAGTGGCACAGAGCCAAGTGGCACAGAGCCCTGTGGCACAGTGCCAAGTGGCGCAGAACAGAGCCAAGTGGCACAGAGCCAAGTGGCACAGAGCCAAGTTGCACAGAGCCAAGTTGCACAGAGCCAAGTTACATAGAGCCAAGTTACATAGAGCCAAGTTACATAGAGCCAAGTTACAATAGAGCCAAGTTACCATAGAGCCAAGTTACCATAGAGCCAAGTTAGTTACATAGAGCCAAGTTACATAGAGCCAAGTTACATAGAGCCAAGTTGCATAGAGCCAAGTTGCGCAGAGCCAAGTTGCACAGAGCCAAGTTACATAGAGCCAAGTTGCACAGAGCCAAGTTGCACAGAGCCAAGTTGCACAGAGCCAAGTGGCACAGAGCCAAGTGGCACAAAGCCAAGTTACACAGAGCCAAGTTGCACAGAGCCAAGTTACATAGAGTCAAGTTACATAGAGCCAAGTTGCACGAGCCTGCTTTGCAGAAGCTGTTGCATCGATGTAAAAGGGCGCCTCCGCGGCTGGAAAAGCACATGATGGGAAACGCTTGGGGGAAAATGCTTTCGGGCCAATCATCCTATAGTAATGTTTTTCCCGAAATGCGCAGCAGAAGGGTTCCCGTTTAGAAGTCGGGGGTCTCGTGACCAGAAGTCGTTCAATTTACGTCCCCAAGCGTCCGCAAGCGTCCGTATGTGTTCGCGAGTGTCGCTGTCGCAGCTGTGGTGGGGAAAGCGCAAAACGTGCCACTTAGCTGACTTGAAGCGTGTCATTTTTCGTGCCCCTGTGCCGGAATTGTAGCTCTTAGCACGTCAGACGTTGTTTTGCTGCGCAGGCGCGGTGTTTTGTGAAGGTTCACGTTTGCGTTACAAATCCATTGTGATTCGCGTTTCAGGGGTTGTCATTTTGAGGTGTTTTGCTTGGAATGCGCGCGCAAGCGTTTGCTCGAATGTCGTTTTCGCTGGCCCTGTCGTACAATCGGCTCGTTTTCACGACTGCAGATTTTCAAGAAATCGGTCGAAATTATTCTGGCGCTGCCCTAGCTTTCCGCGTGCGATGCGGGAGTGTCAAATTCGGATTACGCGGCAGGCGCAGCGTTTTGAGCGTTTTGCATGTCGCTGTGACGTCATTTTTCGTGACAGGCGCTGCACTTTCGAGCTGTTCGTGCAGATTTCATGGCAGGCGCGGCACTTTAGAGCTTTTCGTGCAGATTTCGTGGCAGGCGCAGCACTTTAGAGCTTTTCGTGCAGATTTCGTGGCAGGCGCAGCCCTTTGATGGGTCGAGCCGCTTTTGCTGTGGCATGGCCTCTGCGGACTTTGGGTGGGTCGAAACGCTCTCGCTGTGGTGCGGGGCTCATTTTGAGATCGCAAACTGAACCCTCTGCGCGCTTTGGGTGGGTCGAATTGCTCTCGCTGTGGCGCGGCTCACATTTTGAGATTGCAAAGTGAGCCCTCTGCGCACTTTGAGCGGGTCGGGTCGCTCTCGCCGTGGCTCGGCGCGCTTTTTGAGATCGCAAAGTGCACCCTCTGCGCACTTTGGGTGGGTTAAATCACATTTTGGGATCGCGGGGCGGAGTCGTGACAAAAAACGTAACGAGAGATGTGACACAAAACGCGAGTAGGGTCGTGGCTAGAGACATGAGAAAGACCACGAAAGGCGTCGAGACGCATCTCAGGGATGGATAACGAGAGACGCCCCTCCGTCACGTCTCTGGTCACGTCTCTTGTCACGACCCTCGCCACGTCTCTTCTCACACGTCTCTTGTCGCATTTGTTATTTCTGTCTCTGGTAACCTCTCGCGTCACGACTCTCGTCGCATCTCTTGTCACGTCTCTCGTCACAAGTCACATCCATCGTCACGCCTCTGGTCACGTGTCTTGTCACGTCTTTGGTCACGCCCTTTGTCGCGTCTGCCGTAACAACTGACGACATACGTGAGAGGAGACGCGATGAGTGTCTCCAAGAAAGACGCGCGGGAGATGCTACGTAGTCGTGACGAGAGATTCGTGGAGACACGTGATGATATGCAAAGTCATGACGAGTGTTACGAGAGACGTGACAAAGGACGTGAGCAAAGACGTGACCAGAGGCGTGACGATGGATGTGATGGGTGTGACAAGAGAGACGCGAGATAAAGCATGACCAGAGACGTGACGAGAGATGTGATAAGAGACGTGACGAGGATCGTGACGCGAGGGTTTCCAGAGACAGGACGGCAAATAGGACAAGGGACGTGTGAGAAGAGACGTGGTGAGGGTCGTGACCAGAGACCAGAGACGTGACAGAAGACGTCTCTTGAAAGACGTGACGCGTAAGGCGTGACGCGTGATGCAAGATGCGATGAGTGTCATGACGAGAGTCGTGGCCAGAGTTGTTGCAAGGCGCCTGTCAAGGGACGTGACCAAAATCGTGACTGGGGACGCGACGATAGATGCGACAAGCGTTTACGTGAGACGCGACAAAGGACGTGACAAGAGACGTGACCAGCAATCACAAATATGACAAGAGACATGTGAGAAGAGACGTGGCGAGGGTCTCCAAGAAAGACGTGACGGGAGATGCTACATAGTCGCGACGAGAGGCGCGTCGAGACACGTGATGAAAGATGTGATGAAAGTCATGACGACAGACGTGGCCAGAGTTGTTACAAGAGACCTGTCAAGGGACGTGACCAAAAACGTGACTAGGTACACGACGATAGATGCGACAAGTTACGTGAGACGCGACAAAGGACATGAACAAAGACGCGACTAAGCAAGAGACGCTGTTACGAGAAACTTGACAAGGGGCATGACCAGAAACGTGACTTAAGACGCCGCCAGAGACGTGACTGTATATATATATATATATAGAGAGAGGCATAGCCTCAGACTGCGCGTGGCAATAATGTCATATGAGACGTGTGAGGAGAGACGTGACGAGATTGGACCAGAGACGCGACAAGAGATGTGACAGGAGACGTATGAAAAGAGACGCGCCGAGGGTTATGACGAGAGACGTGACCAGAGACGCGACGCGAGGGCCGACGACTCATGCGTGACAAGAGACGTGACGAGAGTCGCCAAGAAAGGCGCGACGGGAAACGCGACGGAGTCGTGACGCGGCGAGACACGTGAAAAAAGACCGGAGACGCGACGCGAGGGGTGACGACTCACATGACAAGAGACATGACGGGAGTCACCAAGAAAGACGTGATGGGAGACGACAGAGTTGTGACGAAAGGCGCGGCGAGACACATGCTGAAAGGTTTGACGAAAGTCATGACGAGAGACGTGGCCAGAGTTGCTACGAGACGCGTGACAAATGACGCGACCAAAGGTGGGACTAGAGACGTGACTATAGAGACGTGACTAGAGGTGCGACGCGAGATGTGACAAGAGTCCGTTCGCATTCGGGTTCGTGGCTTCTATCAGGTTCTTCATATATTTCACACCTTGTCGGCGTTCATGTTACGCTGGGTGCGCGGCAGATGGGGCTTTGATCTCCACGTCGCTCCAGGGTTGAACTCCCTTTTTTCTTGACTTCATCCTATTGACGGCTAGCGCAACCCCCCCCAACCGCCCCCCAAAAAGAAGAAGGAAGAAGAGGTGATAGTTAGGAATTTAACTTCTTGTGATCCTCTTGTGCTATAAAACTGACCGTTACTCGCCACAGTCTGATGGTTGATTGCCACTGGCCCCTTGAAAGGTTCGTGGCCTGGACATGATTGTCTTGGCCAGGGCTCAAGTAAGGTACTAAACCCAGGTAACCCTCAGAGGGTCTGGTCAGCGAGTGCCTGAGAGGTGCAGTTCGCACCCCAGACGGTGGGAGGGCGCATTGTTTCCTTGGGCCTGGCGTTCATCCTGATTTTGCTGGTCAGCGGCTACACTGCAAGGCTCGGACGCAGCCAGTGATGCGTCTCAGTTTGCTTCCCAATGCTTAAGACAACTGGGCAAGCCACTCCGCCCCAGTCCGTTCTTCCGGTAGCACGCAGTAGCAAAGAGAGCGCCAGGAAAGCAAGAAGGAACTTGAAGAACCAAGAAACGAAGTGAACATCAGGATGAGTCGAGGGTAATATGAGATCAACTGGGTGACAATCACATCAAACACCAAACACCCAACAACAAGAGCAGACAAGCCTTGCTGGCCCAGCTTGACCTCCTTCCTGGTGGTGGACAATCGCCTCAGCTCCACCGTCAGTGACCTGAATGGTGCGATTCGGCTGGGCCTCAAGATTTGCGCCCATCGCTCAGACAGCGTGCAGCTGTTGCTGAACGGCGTCAAGGCCTCCAGTGTCCCGGGCCGCGCGTTTGGGGATGGTGTGTGGCAGGCTGTCAGAAAAGAAAAGCCTGTTCCCTTTGCATACAACTATTGAAAAGAAGTAGGGTTGGTTTCAAAGAGGAGGCCAAGCGGACACCGCGGCATGTTGGGGCGCCTAGCTTCCTTCGAGCCAAGAACCCCCCCTCCCGCAAGAGGGACGAGAATGTGTGACGCGTCGCGCGCGCACACTTGGCACAAGTGTCTCTGCTGGTGAATCTACTTTTGCTAAATTCCAATTAGGAAACTTGGGAAATCCGAGGGCTGGTTTCGAGGGCCGTCTTGCATCTTTGTCTACTTTCATTCCTAGCTGGAAGTACCCAAGGACAGCTGCGCCGAACAAGTGCTCAACTCATTAGCCTCACACACACACACACACACACACACACACCCCTCCCCATTTCGGTGAATTCGTCCACAGCGGCAGGAGGAGAATGTGGTGATCCAGCAGAGCCGGTCAGTGGTGTTACCTTCCGTTTCGGAGGGAGCCTGCGACCTGGCTGTGGTCCGGCAGGAGGACCTGGAGGCGTCACAGGCAGGGGCGAGCGGCTCCCACGCAAAGAGGGAAGCCGTCCAAAAAGGTGTTTGAGCACACACAACGGTTGGGTTTAAGATGCGCTTCTGTTTGAACAAAAGGCAGGAAACAGTCAAGAGGCATCAACAACCAGAGCACAGGCATGTATCTTCTCTGGGCCCCAGGCCCAGAACGGTGGCTCCTTCTGCCAACTGACGAGGATAGGAGATCCCGTCACCACAAGCTTCTCGGCAAAAAAGAGCGGTGGAAGAGCAGCCTTGTCAGCACGCGACCCTGGTTGGCTTCCAGCCTGGAGGTTCGCTCTTTCCCTGACAGCGGCGATACGGGAGACGGTTGGTTGAAGATGGGGGATGGAAGGCGTTCAACACGAAAGAAAGCTGCGGGGCGTGGCTGGCGTTTGGCTCTCCTCAGGTTGGACAGGGAACTTGCGCAGAGAAACTAGGTTTTCACAGCAGATGGCGCGGCACTAAGTTTCAATTGCCAAGCGAACTTCTGAACGCAGTATAGCTTCGTATGGTCATTTTGAGTTCTTGCGTGTAGGCGCTGGTTCAGTGTTCGTTCAATCTCAAGCTTGGATTGGTTTGTTTGCGTGGCTGCAGGTGAGCGGGTGGATTGGGTGGCCGTCCCAGTTTGTTTTCCGGCGTATGTTGTTTTTTTGCCGTGGCGGTTATGGTCATTGCTCGCTTTTGACCGTTCGCGCATTTGTCGTGCAGCTTTGCTTCCCATTGTCTGTTCTTGCGCCTGAAGGCATGATCGGCATCGCCGTCTCCAAGAAGTGGTCCTGGGCGTTGCAATACGCCATGACCTCTGCAGAGCAAGAGGGGCTCGTGCTACAGGCTGGGCAACATAGTGGATTTTGAGTTGAACTCGCGACGGTTTCCTGGCAATTGTTTGCAAGGTTCAAGTGGTGGCGATGTGCTGGGTTCCCTGGATTGCTTGCAGAGTTTTGGCGGTTGCTCAGCACCTGTCGTAGTTGCGCCAACCAGCATTGTCGCACGTAGAGAGATGCCTGGAATCCGCAGCTCAGGGCTGTCTTCCCATCATGAAAAGCAAAATGTACACTGTGGGATGTCCGGTGTCCCCGCAGGCGCAGAGCGCGTACAAGCCGCAGGACGAGGGTTGGCAAGCTCAATTGCTTGAACGTGTCCTAAAAAAGTGATCACACAGCTGCTTCAAGGGCGTCAAACAGACAATGTCTTAGACTTTGCGGATTCTAGGACTTTTGCTCCGCTGTGGCGGCAGAGGCGGAGGCCACGGCGGAGCCACCCTCACTGCAGGCCCGGAGCCGCGCCCGCGGCGCAGAGGGAAACCGGCTTGTTCTACTCTTGGCTGGACAAGGGGAGCAACTTCGCGTTCTCCTCCTTGGCAGTATGGTTTTGGCTGGCTTTGAGGTACTCCGTTCTGGTTTGCCTTGCAGTGTTGTGCTTGTTTGAGTGAGTGAGTCGGCGCCGAAATGCGTGAGCTGGTTCCAAGATGTATGGCGAGCGAAGTGCTTGACCGGTTTCGAAGGATTTTGAGCGGTTTCTTAGATGGCCAAAGAACTTGACCGCCTTGCAGGGGAGATTCAGGTTCTCGCATACATTGACAAGTTCTCCCTAGGATCTTTTCCTACGCAAGCGCTGGACCTAAAAGCATTGGATGCGTGTGTGTGTGTGTGGTGTCACGCTCTTTACCTTGGGGTGCGTTTCTCTGAGGTCGAAGGTATGGCTGGACCCTTCGTCCTCACCAGCGCCATTGCGGGCTTTGGGGTCTTGGTTCATTTGACCAAGGCTCAGATCGACAAGCGGCGCAGGGGCAGAAAGAGCCAGCGCGAAAAGAGTCAGCGTGAGAAGATGAACCCGGAGGTGGGCAGTTGCAGAGCTCTCCCTGTGTTTGTGTTTGGTTGGTTGTTTTCGAGTTAAGAAAGCCACGTAAGAGCACGTGTCATGTTGCGTTCTGCTGGTGGTTTTTCCATGACACTGTCAGGTCACAGACGCCACAGACACCTTTGAAGACGTCGGGCAAGAAGCCGCGAAGCCAGTGCTTCCGGAGTTGCAAGTTGAAGCAGCGGGGGCAGCGCAAGCAGGAACAAAGAGCCTCGCGCGCGATGAGGTCAACGCCAAAGAGGATGAGGTCGAGGACTGCTTGCAAGTGAGTCCCATTTAACACAACTTGATGTGAATAGCTCCAGCATATTTGGGATGCTTCCCAAACAAAGTTGATGGGGTTGGCTTTTTTCCCAGTCGGGAAGTTTCAATCCGCCAGTTCTAAATGCAGCTGGCGCCACTTTGTCCACTTTGTCGCTGTCCGGACAGTCGCGGGTCCGGCTCGTCTTGTTCAAACTTGGAATTTTAAGCCGAGCAACCAGGATCCGTGTTTTTTTTCAGACCTGCACACAGAGAACGTGTGACATCGCCCGCAATGAATTCATGAGAGGATGTTTTCCTGGCGGCCTAGTAACTGGCCGGGACGAGTTTTCATCAGAGATCGGAGAAGGAGCAAAGGAGACAGACTATCGTGCAATGTGGATTTTGGATTCAGGGACGCCAATGGCCGGATTTGCTCATGCTTGTTCATCACAGGAAGTTTAGTGCTGCCACAATCCGACCTCGCAAAGCATTTTGTGCGAGCAAGAAAGTCGCACACGTGGCAAGCCCGCCCGTGCAGGGCCCGGGCTCGGTCATCCCGGCCGCCCCTGCCCGGCGCTGCCATCTTCACCCAGAACGGCAAGGCGCAATCCAAGGCACAAGCTGGGAACTCCAAAAAGAGGGCCTGAGAATGGGGAAAAAAGAAGCACGACAGGTCTCGGGACTGCCCCGACAAAGGCAAAGCAAACGCGAAACAGAACTCGAGCTCTCCGAGCACGCATCTCCCCCGCACTTTGCTGCTTTGACGGCCTACTCTGTCGTCAGCGCAAAGTGAGAATGCCCGAGCGCCAGTCAGCATGCGCCCAAGCTTTCTGCTCCAGCACCGCCGTCCAGCCCAGGATTAAGTTTTAACATGTTTTAGTTTAATTGCAAAAACCACGTCATATAGCAAATATTTATATATGTATATGTGAATTACAGTTTGAAATTAGGCGTGGGACGGGACCAACAAGTGCAGATTGTTGCGTCGGAGCTTTCATTGTTTTCATGTTGGTGGACATCTTTGCTGATGATTTTTTTCACTTCAGACTACTTCTCAACATTAGCCGGCGCTGCCAGCAACCATCTTTTAAAGTTTGGACGACGTTTGAGGTTCCATTGTTCAGAACATGTGAGACATGTTTGTCCGCTGCTATTGCAGGATAGGCAGGGTACCTCTACGCGATTGGCAGACGGTTGCGCAAGCCCCTGGTCCCTCAACTGCCTTCTTCGTTTGCACCGATTTGCTAAGTGGCGAGGCGTTAAACCATAAGATGGAATCTTGAAGGTCGCTTTCAAACTCATATATCAGTTCGGTTTAAGCCTTCCATATCAGGCCTTCAGCCTCGAACCAATGGTTACTTTAAGCAGTTGGACTTGCAAGCTCTAACATGAAGACAATATTGTTTGCATGGCAACATGCAAGAATGCTAGGTACTCCAATTCCGAAGTTTCCGCAAGCATTTGCGCTCACAGGAAGTTCACGTTGGTTGCCTTTGGTCTTTGTTGGTCCGCCTGCGGTCGTTGTGACCATGATGCGGTGGATGGCTATCATCATGCTCACCAAGGCCTCGACTTCTGCAGGCGCGGAGCCTTGTGTTGGTTGCACCGCAGGTGCTGGTTTTGTCCAGCACAAGCGCTACCTCAGCCAGACCCGGCGAGATGACTTCTGTGAAGGCAAGAAGGGCCTTCATGAAGCACCGGCCGGGGCTGAAGGAAATATCGACTGCCGCGGTCACCCGCTTGGTCAGTGGCAGCCATTTTATCTTTTTTGTGCAGAGAAGGGTTTCCCGTCAAAATGAAGGCGCGCTGACCTCTGAACTTCTCAGGTTATTACAATTGCTGGCACGGGGATGAGCCCATGCAGCTGTGCGGCACTGGTATGCGCTTCAACCCTGCAACCACGAATTGTG